TAGTTCTGTGCATGTTGGATCTTAATTAGGTCCATTAGTACACCACTTTTTCAGGCGAAAAAGTAAATGGCTCAAATAATAAGTGATTGGATCACAGTGCTTCAGTAAACACAAAACAGCCTACATACTAGTACATACTAAACTTGTTACACAACACAACCCCACCCTACGGATATAACATATGCTTTATGGCACAACACAAGTGCCACAAAAATATGTGACAAAAGCAAGTAGCTCAAATTAATGATTAGATTTAGACACCAAGCAGATTCTCTCAATTCAAGTCGCTTATTGCATTATTCAGCATATTCTTTCAGTTACTGACAGAATAGTTAAACCTTCACAATGAGAACTAAACATAAAAAAATATAAAAAATACAGGTAAAGAGCAACTGATGAAGCATCATATATAGAGGGAGAATAAGACATAAACATTTTGTTAACTTTGCATTAAACTAATAAAAAGTTATACTCCACTTAGCAGAAGTTGCATGGAGTTGATCCACTTTCTATTTTGTGAGTTGCCAATCATCCGCGGCATTAACACCTTGTCTTTATGTAAATAATTCTCTCCTTATCATAAAGAACTTCTTAGTGGGAATTTCCTTTTTAGGGTCATTCAATTTTTGCTTACTTATACACTTCTTTCCCACTCCACAAAAGTATAATATATCTTTAGCCCTAAACCTAAAGCGAAACCTCCAAAACAAGCTTTTCTCCGGACAAAAAGAGAAGAAAGGGTGAATAATTAAGAGTTAGGTTAACTAATAAGATTAAAAAACGTTGACAAAAATGTTATGCTTTGAAATTTTTGTATAAACTTCAAGGTTTATGCTATATTTGGACCTTGAAATGTGATAAACAACTCTCATTCCTTTGAACATTTACTATAGTAAAAAAATGAAAGAGAATAAATGGGAAAAGAAAGGGAAAAAGAGAGAGCAAGAAGTGCGCATGTCTTGCTGCTGTTGGTTATGGAACTTAATTAAGAAGTATTTGGTTTAATTAAATCATTGTTTAAAAGAGGTTTAAAGAAGATGCCACCTTTTAGGCTTGTTATGCGCTGCAAATGGAGCTATCGCGGCCTTCAAATGTTATATTGGTAGAGGAATCGTGGCCTCTATCAATGAACATGATTAGCCACCTATCCATCCCTAGATTGGTATGCAATAGTTGTAAGTTGTAACACTTTCTTTTTCAATATTTTTTCTAGTGGGTATATAATAAAATTGTAGGTTATAATTTACATTGATTGAGTAATCTTATGTCATTATGGAGCACATAATGGGTCTATTGATTATGATATGATGGGATATTAATTCGATACCTATTCATTTTGATATTGGTTTGTTTTAAGCGTTCCCGACCTTCTTTTATTTAGTGCAACCTCCATTTATATATACTAATAATCTATGGTGAGTTCCGATTTCAATTTTTTTAACCTAAATTTAAAAATGTGTTATTGGTCTTCTGTTTCACAGTTAAAGCATAGTATTTATGTAATGGTCAATGGTCACTATTTTTCATCGTGGTGATTAAATTTCGCGGAATCTACCACTTGAACTTGAACCAACCCCTTTGATTAGTATATTGTATATTTTTAATTTTACAAATAAAGATAGTTATAAAAGGTTTGGCTCTTTGCTTAGTTTGGAATCTGCATTGGAGTCCCTTTTCTTCTACTGTGCTAATCCCCATTTAGTCAATTTTTTTTATTTACATAATTAGATTGATAAGTTATTATTAATTTTTAAACTTGCCACTCAACGATTTCCAATTAGCTTGCCCTCTGAATATGAACCCAAAGCAAGCTCTTCATAAAACAAATGTATATTAAATAAGAGCTAAGGTAAGATTAATCCCCCACCAAAGTTTAAAGCGTAAAAGTTTTGCCTCAAATTCTTTTTTTACTTTTTAAAAGCGTAATTATTGCATGAATTTTTATTTTTTTTATCTTATACTAACTTAACTTCACTAAAATACGAGGTCGATAAGAATTGAACTCGTGAATTTATGATTACATAGACTATTTTTTTTTTTTTTTGAAAAGAAGATTACATAGATTCTGCCAACAAAGGTGGTACACTTGGCTAAGGGTTTGATCCATACCCGGCGTGGATTCAAACCCCGTTAGCCGATGTGAGGACTTTGTTGGTGGGTGATATATAATTTCTCCCAAAAATTCTCAAAGAGGTTGGGAGTCTTTCCTGACTCTAGTGAAATACCGGTGTCTAATCCCACTTAAACTTGATGTTATAAAAAAAAAAAAAAAATTACATAGAATCTAATACGGTGTTAAACAAATGACGAACCTTCAATCCTTCATTGATTTAAATTATATTTCTATAACACTATCCGCTACAAAGTGTACCACCCACTGGAATTTATAAAATTATTATTTAGTAACAAAGCGGAGAAAACACGCACCAATGGTGCGGAGACAGCTTGGGGTATTAATTTGAGTCTTGACCTGACTGTGATGTTTTGTCCCTCTGCGTTTGGGTGTGTTTTGTCTTTGTAAGAATTAGAATGCCTTATTTTATTTTTTATTTTTTTGTTGTTGTTGGGGGTCCATCATTTACATGTTGGAAAAGCAATGTTCTGGGGTCCAAAACCTCAAAAGGCTGGGTTTTTACTTTTTAAGACATATATGTCGTACAAAATTGCACCGTTAACGCTAAAATAAACATTTCCAAGTACGTGAAGTTGCTTTGAATTGTAAGGACTCACTGAGCATCAGACAATAAACAAAGGATTTTCACGCCCCCCACGTCTATTATTTTAAGGATTTTGGATTGAAGTTACTGAAATTTGGGGACTCAAAATCAAATATTATATATAATTTTATTAGAAGAACAAATGAGGAAAAAAAAGGTAATGGATGCATGGCGTAAGCACATTGACTGAGAAGAGACTTCCAAGCAAATTAATCGGAGTTAAGCAGGTGCTCTCCATTTGCTAGTTTGTCTGATTACGTTTGCATAAATATAACGTATTTGAAATTAAAAATTATTAAACTAAGAAAATATTCTATTTTTAATCAGTACTTAATTATTCTATTTTTAATTATTTGTTTAAAAAACCAACATACATAAAAAAAATGTGATCCTATGAAAAAAGAAAAAAAAGAACTTAATTAATTTCCTTGTATTTGTACGATATTGTTATTTTCAACTTATAGGAGAAATATTAAACCCTAAAATTATTCCATAAAATGATTATATTATCAATTTAAAAATGATTTAAAATATTTTAATAAAATTGATTTTCTTACTTAGAAAACATTATTTAAATCACAGTATTATTAAATATTATAATTAAAATTATAATATAGAAAAACTATATTCAATGACTTATACAATTTAATTTCAACCTTTCATAAATATTTATTTATAAATTTTTAATAAAATGATAAAACTGAAGATGTGATCCTATGAAAAAAGAAAAAAAGAAGATGTGATGATGTCAGGAATCCTTTCTCCTGTCCAGCTTTACCCCAGTAGGATTTGGACTTCTAGAATTTTGAAAATTAACTAAGGCAAAATTAATTCTTCTATTGCATAAATATACTCATCTCGTGTTAGTCTCAGTTCGTAAAACGTGCTCAACTTAATTTTTTATTTTTTTTGAAAAAACTGATAAGGTCCATTTATTTCTATCTACAAGAAAAGGTGCTGATCACCAGCCACATAAGAAATACAACGCTCACTAACTAAAGCTAATATAATTGGACAATATTATAAAAACATAACAACTACTTGAATTTTTTATTTTAAATTATCGTAGAGTCTTATTTTCATCTTTAATTTGTAGTTTCTAACAAAAACCTAAAATAAGTCATACATTTTTTGAAAATCATTTTAATAACCTTTCCTAAATAATAACTACAAAACACTTTTGTAAGTGTTCGTTAAAATTAGAGATATTCGCGGTCTGGATTAGGTCAGTTTTGGAAGCAAAAATTATTTGATTCAATCCCTCCAGTTTGATCATGTAATCATCCATTCAGTTTGGTTTTTTTTTTTCAAATCCGATCCGATCCAATCCAATTTTTTTCGGTTTAGATTGGATCAGTTTTTGGTTTTTTAAAAAGCCTAAAATTTATTTCATGGTTATTGTGCAAATAACATATCTTTTGTATATATTAGCTTTGTAAAGTTTTTTTTTAAATACTGAAGCATCATTAAACGATAATATAGTTTTTTTTGGCAATGAGATATGAAACTCTACACAGATGAAATTTTGATTAGGCGATAGTCGATGTGGCTAGGTTTTTTTTTGGGTTTAGTTGATGAGTTATTAGGTCTTGGGTTTAGAATTTTTTGGACTATGATTATGGAAATGCTCAAGTAGGTAGAGGGGAATTAATATATTGGATCAGTTTTCATCAAACAATTCGAAAATCGATCCAATCCAATTAAAATTTGCGGATTTTTTTTTATTTTCGATTTATTCGGTTATCGGTTTCTTGGTTCGGCCACCGCGGTTTAAATCAGTTTGGATCGGTTGATGAAGTTAAAACAAAGAATCATAAATAAACTGATACTGTGTTTATCAAAAAAAAAAAAAAAAAACTGATACTGTTAATTTGGGATCCAACTTGCAAAAGTTGAGATTGTCTTGGCTTGTCTTCCCATATTCTCTTATCTCTCAAATGCATTCCACGTGCCTTTCCACAAAAGGTTCCATCTTCTTCTTATTTTTCATTTCCATAAACAAAAGATATTATCTTAAGCAGACAAATTAGAGGTCATGTGATCATGTCCTCTTTATGTATATTTCTTGTCCCCTTTATTGTTCATAAATTCCTATCTCATCACCTTTTTTCCCCCCCAAAAAAGAAGGTTTGATTCTTGGTTTGTTCTTGCTCAAGCTATATTAGCCGTATATCTTCCCACTTCAACCTCATCAACAATATAAAAAGGAAACTGAAACCAATCTGCGATTGTAAAATATAAACCTCCACTTGGAAATTATAATATGCATTACAGTTTGCAGAAACCCAAAGTAGATAATAGAAACACTATTTATTTTCACACCATTTCGCAAAAACGAACATTTTCTTTTATCAGTCTTCTCATCTCACTTTTCTCCTTTTATCAATCTGAACATGGTAAAGCTAAACCAACCCAATTGTTTTCCTCTAATTCCCATTACCATTGTTCATTAAAGTTTCCAACTTTTGATCAAATTTCATCTCATTCTCATCATGTATTTATTTGTCTTTTATTCTTAAACTTCAAAAACAACTTGGCTGTTCCTAGTATAGTATTCTCTTCACCACAGAGGTATTGGAGGAACATAACCAAAAGGGGACATATACTAACGTGCGCTACTGGGGCCGTTAATATTCGTTAGTGCTCTTCTCTCTCTCTCTCTCTCTCTTTTTCTCCCATTACCTTAAAAGCCAAACAAACCAACCCCATTTTTTTTCTTGAAACTCACAGAAAATGATCCATAGATCACTTCTCTCTAACAACATGGATAATGGTTGCTTCCCTTCTCCACGCCTAGATGCTTTTCCAGCAGGTTTGCGAGTTCTCGTTGTTGATGATGACCCAACATGGTTGAGGATCCTTGAAAAGATGCTCAAAAAGTGCTTTTATGAAGGTTTGTTCTGCTCATCATCACTGTTACCCCTTTCTTCTTCTGCTCTGCCACTTCTGTTATGTGGTATTAATTTGTTGCATTAAAGGACTTTGAAATTCATACTGTGATTGTGGCTGTTGCTCTAGTCTATCTTCTGAAATGGGTTTCTTATTTTTAGTTTAATTGTTCTGAATTTTTAGTGTGTCTTGGGATATACTCATGTTGAGTCATATTCTGATGGTTTCATGATTTTAACGAATGAGTAAAATTTCTTCTTCTTTTTTTTTTTTTGAAAAATATAAGAAGAAACAAAAAAAAAAGTTTCTTTCGAGTTATATAAGATGTTGATTGCATTCGTTTTTGCAGCATTTTTCCCTTTTGGTTTTTGGTCAATTTGAGTTATTTCTTGATGATTTTAAATTTACGTGTTTCTCAAAGTAGGAAGCTTTTTCATTTTTTAAGAAAAGGAAAAATAAAAAAAAAATTGAATTGCTGGGAAGTTCGGATTATGAAACTTACTAGTTTGAGCATGGTTATAATCAAACTTCAGGTCTCTGTTGCCATGAGGCTTCGGCAAGAGATGGCTCCCCAGTAAAGTAACAGACTGCCTCTATAGAAAAGCTAGAGAGGGGCAAAAGGAAGTGCCTGAATTTGATTCTTTCTTATCTTTCAATCATGCTTGTAGCTTCAGAATTTACTGTTTCGAGGCTTTGTTTATGGTATCTTTGGAACTAATATGTAATTTTTTGGTGCTGCCTCCTTTCTCACTTCCAATGATAAGTGATAACATGTCTCAACATTAATGTGAGTGAGAGGATAGTTGTGCATTAGTAGTGGGCATCCGAAATTAGTTCTTACAAGAATATAGGAGCAAGTAACTGAATTTATAAGCAACAATCTTTAGTGGCTTGTAAAAGCTTGAATTCAGCAAATTGTGGCTAAGGTCGAGGCCTTTTATGCCTATTGTTCAGTTGACATCTTTAGTGGCTTCAAAATTCCAATCCTCCTTGTATTCTTTATAATTTATTTTTTTTATTCTGTTCATATAAGCAAATTTTCATTAAATTAGAAAATTTGGGAAGCAAGTAGATCTCGTGTCTCTTATGTTTGCTCATGTTATGACTGAGATTCCTTATGTTCTTCTGACTCTTTTCTGTTATGTGCTTCAGTGACTACATGCTGTTTAGCATCAGAGGCTCTAAAAAAGCTTCGTGAAAGGAAAGATGCATATGACATAGTGATCAGTGATGTGAACATGCCTGACATGGATGGTTTCAAACTTCTTGAGCATGTTGGACTTGAGATGGATCTTCCTGTCATTAGTCAGTTCTCTTTTATTGATGTATTCTTTTTCTTCAAATGATATCATTGTTACCTTTTGATCACATTGACTTAAAGTCCTTGTTCTGACTAGCCACACTTGGCAATGCTGTGCAGTGATGTCTGTTGATGGAGAAACAAGCAGGGTGATGAAAGGTGTTCAACATGGAGCATGTGATTATCTCCTAAAGCCTATAAGGATGAAAGAACTGCGAAATATATGGCAACACGTCTTCAGAAAAAGGATTCACGAGGCAAGAGATTTTGAAGGTCATGAGAGTTTTGAAGGCATTCACTTAATGAGAAGTGGATCAGATCAGTCTGATGATGGTAACCTGTTTGCTTTAGAAGAAATGACCTCAATGAAGAAAAGGAAAGATGTAGATAACAAACATGATGACAAAGAATTTGGAGATCAATCTTCTACAAAGAAAGCTAGAGTAGTTTGGTCTGTGGATCTTCATCAGAAGTTTGTTAAAGCAGTGAATCAGATTGGATTTGATAGTAAGTTCTTTACCAACATTCTCTACAAAGTGTTGTTTTGAATTATGACTTCAACAAAATCTATTTGGTAGGCATAATCTAGCATTACGTCAATGAACAAAAATTGCAATTGCCAAGCATACTCTTTTTTGTTAATATTATATGAACCATCATATCTTTTAGATAAAAGAATATAACATATAATTTCTGTTTGGCAGAAGTTGGTCCCAAGAAAATTCTAGATTTGATGAATGTTCCATGGCTGAGTAGAGAAAATGTTGCTAGTCACTTGCAGGTATATATGATTTGCTCTTATGCATTTCGAAGGTGATACTATATTAACAGTCCTTTAACTTTTATCATTAGTTACTGTCTAGTAGGAAATTTGTATCATATATACATTATTTTTTCAAATGAAAATCTTGGTTTCTTAATACTTCGTGTTACATGAGTGATCATGTTGATATGCTGTTTCTGTTATACCTAGAATCATAATGGAGGTTCACTCTAAAACTTACCAACCAATCCATTGATCTTTACACACGTTTCTCAGAAATATTACAGCATAGCTCATAAAATTAAATGGGATAAAAAGAAAAGCTGGAGATAAAAAGCTATTCTGTGATGGTCTAAGTTTAGGGGGTTCCTAATGAGATAATTTTATCCTACAGAAATACCGGCTCTACTTGAGTAGGTTGCAAAAGGAAAATGATCAGAGATCTTCCTCAAGTGGAACAAAGCATTCAGATTCACCTTCAAAAGATCCAGGAAGTTTTAGTTTTCTGAACTCTACAAACAAGCAACAAAATGATGTTGCAATTGACAGCTTCAGCTACTCAGATGGAACCTTACAACTTCAGCATGATGCTACAAGTCATGAAGGTGATCTCAAAAAAATTGTGTCAGAGACTACAACAGAAAAAAGAAGAGCTTTGATTTGTGACATTCCAGACCCTAAGAAACGAAAGAGTTCACAGATGGGCCTTAATCACCCTTTTACACCTGTAGATTCAGAAGCAAACCATGCAGTATTTGATTGCATCATACCAACACAGTTCTCTTGGAGTGAAGTTCCAAAAAGGCCACTCAAAGAAGAACAAAAGACACTTGTTCCATTAGAGGATAGCTTAAGCCAGTTGCCATTACATGGCACGCAGCATCACATTCAGGTTAATCAATCACAATCATTTGCTTCAATCAACACCAATCCCTCTATAACAGAAGAAGAGGTTGCTGCCTGTTTAAAAACCAAACCTTTTTATGCTGATTACAAAAGTGATTATGACAGTCCTGTGAGTTCAATAGGATCTGCAGTTGATATCTTTCCTATTCAGTCCAAAAGCCTTATAGTGAATGATCAATCTTCTGAGCCCATTTTCACTTCAAATTTAGGCTTGAAAACACAGGGATTAAATCTCAGTTGCATTTCTGATCTGGAATTTTACCAAAGAAACCTACTTTTAGGTGGTGGTGGTGTGGTAGCTTCTGCACCTTTGGAGGAGGACTTGCATTTCTTTTTGCTACAAGGTGAATGCTATAATACCAACTTCGGCCTGCAAAATATAGAGATGTCAGAGTATTATGATCCAAGGCTCATTGGTGAAGTTCCTACTTATTTACATGATGCATCAGATTATTCAGTAGTAGATCAGAGTCTATTCATAGCATGATCTGTCCTGCCCTTTTCTGCATCATGAACAAAAAATTCAACTCCAAGCATGAAAGGACCATTTAGTATTACTAAACCTTTTTTTTCAAGAATTTCAACTTTAAGGGGTTGGGGTATTCCTTTTCCAATCGGCAAGGATTTTGATGTTGAAGCATATATAAAAGTGGGTGATGTGTGATGACAAACATTAAGCTTATTAATAAGCTTGCTTCCATTTTTAATATTATCAAACTGAATATTGGGAGAAGCATTTTCTTGTGTTTGTAAGCCCACAATAGTTCACAGCAAAGAGTTGAATCACAAAGGTAATTTTATCCATGCAGAGTAATGCAACTAAAGATTTTTTATATACGTCCGCATCACCTTTGCATGACCAGCTGAAACCTAGTTTAGTTACATATTTTGTTCAGACTTCGAAATACTCCAACAATCCTTGGACAAAACTTATTGAAGCCTAGACATAATTTAAAAAAAGAAAAGAAAGAACTGAAAAATTTCCATTTGCATTTACATTTTACTGTGGGTAGATATGCATTGCTAAACAAGTACAGGTGTGTGAGTAAACTTGGTATGCATGAAGCACATTATAGCCTTTTCTTTTCCTACTAACTTAAAAATGTTAGGGACATAAACGAATTTACTATTCTTCAGATCCGTTTTGAAAGATAAAAATGTTGCCAACTTCATACTACAGTCTTATGCTCTTTGATCAGCTAATTAACTGATGGTTAATCCCTTTTAGGGCTTCTTTGGTGGAAACGAAAAGATAAAAAAAAATGAATAGGATAAAAGGGTTGGATAAGAGTAGGATATGATATGAGTCTCATAAGCTCGTATCTTATCTGAGAGAAAAATGTTATCCTATCCAATATTTGGGACGAATCATATAATGTCATGATATGATATGAATAGCCGAAAAGACCCTTTAATAAAATTTCATATGATATTTTAAAATTGATTTTTAAACTATTTTTTTACTTATTTAAACATTATTTCTTATTTTAAATTATTAAAAAATTTAAAAGTTATAATTTTAAATAAAATATATTAAAATACATTAATGACTTTCAAATTTTTTTAAAATATTAAAAATTATATCCTCACTAAATAAATTTTTAAAAATTAAGTTTTAAAAATTGTCTTCCCTATCATATGTAACATCATTCAAAAATTATATTTCATTTAACTACTAACTTTTGCATAATTTAAAAATCATGCTTCATTTTTCAGTCAAAAATCATGTTTAACTCAAGGGGCTTATTTTTCTCCTGATGTAGGAGAAAATTTTTGCTTCCTGACACATGTTTTAGTGGGGCTCACTATTTAACAAAAAAAAAAAAAGATAGCTAAAAAATTGATGGGTGTTCTAGTATAACATGAGAGATAAGAGAACCTCTCACGACACGACATAAATAACCTGTCAACCCCAAATTGTGTTACTTATTATGTGGGTCAACACAACACGATAAGACATGAATAACCTATTTAAGACACGACAGAACACAAATTAGCTATACAAAAATTATTGTGGGTCAATTTAGGGTTTGCAAGTTAACACGCGATACAACATAAATTTTTTTGAGTCAGTTTTTGTCAACTCAAGCATGACACAAATTTGAAATCGGATCAATCCGAACGCATATTTTTCGTGTCGTGTTCATCTTGTGTTAGCGGGTCGTGTTGGAAATTGTCATCCCTATTTTTAACAGAGCATCTTAAGTCCAAAGATCCAAAATCTTTTTAAAAAAAATTGGCTATTTAAGTGAGCTAGCAACCACTTAACAAAGCTCAAAATAAAAATAATTACTATTAAATCTTAATTTTCATTAAATATTTTTCTTAAATCATTTTATTTATTTGAATAGTAAATTATTAAATATTTTAAAGTATTTAAGACATTAAATATTTTTTCATTTGATTTTTTTTTATTTTAAATTTCTTAACAAGTTAGTCATAATTTTTATTATATCTAAAGTCCCAAACAAAATTATTTTCAAAATTCAACCTTTTTGGATTGTACAGGTTGGATGCGTCAAACCATCAAGCCCAATATCTCTTGGAGTGAATAAAGCCTGACCAAGTTAATCATGACCCAACTCTTCAACTACTTTGTGCACTATATTTATATTGCAGGGACTCTACATTTTAATTGTTATGTATCTCAACTATTCACAACAGTATACTCTTGAGTTGCACACTGCATAAATTGTTTATATTTACCCGAATAAAATTCATCTTTCTCATGTAAATCTCATTCTTATTTAAATTCAAGCGAAACACTAGAATGTAATCAATGTATAATCAAGATGAATTTTTGACCTTAAAGACAACAGAGCATCTTGTTTCTACTCCACCAACTGTCTCTAATGCTAATAACATGTTACCACCTCGATTTAATAAAAGCAAAAATTGGTCAGAAGTTTGGAATTACTCTTCATCAACCAATTTGAAAACCGATCCAATTTAATTAAAGTTTGCGAGTTTTTTTTTTTCGGTTTTCAGCTTTTCAATTTTTAATTTATTCGGTTATCGATTTTTCAATTCTTTGATCGATTGATGAACACCCCTATTTCTATTTCTGATTCCCTCCATTGGCCCTTTTAATACTTAATAGAGCCTCTTGCTAAGCCCAAAAGGCATAAGGTGAAACCTGGGTCTTGCCAAAATAAATTGCTACTAAAGGACATCGGATTTAACTATTTTAAAGTGAGCGGTTGATTTTAGAAAAAAAAGAAGTGAAATATCTCACCAGTAAATGAAATTTTTTTAAGAAAAGTAAATTTTAACAAATACATAATTTGTTATAAATGTGTAAGGATTTGATCCTAATACCAATAGTTAACTTTTCATTAATCATAAAAATATCTCACTTTTTCTTGAGGATCAAAATCAACCAATGTTAACTCTTCAGCATGTGTAGCTCTTATAACGACATATACTGGAGCATTATTTAAGCAAATTTAAGTAAACAATCAAGTGAGATAGTCTGGAGCATACATAACCAAGAAACTACATAGACAACAATTGCATAAATCACATGATTTCTCTAACTTAGCAGACTCGATATTTCTTCTTTAAGAGAGGCATATTGAAGAAGCTCCACATCACGCTCAAACATGACCATGTCATGCTCTTCCATGTTCACAAGCGCTTCAATCCCATCCCCATCTCTTGTATCCATCAAAACTATGCTATTCCTCACAGGGCAACCACTAGTTGTCACCCATATTGGTTTCCCCCACCCAAAATCTGCCACGTACATTGGGAATCTGCACCAGCTTGCATAACAAAACAAAGTTTGAGTCTCCTCATCAGAATCACAAGGCTCTGAAGGACCTGAGGTAGCTTGTTTTAGACACTCAGAGATAAACGACAAGTCCTTCCCTCCAAACTTTTTAGCACATATTTCACAAAACTCAGATAACCCTTGTTTCACTTTGCTCACCAAGTCATGTAGTTCTGTTTCCCTCTTTCCAATGAAAGGGTTAAACACAAACACGAACCAAACCATGTTCCCAACGCACTTCTCATGCGGTGGAGGAACCATTCTCTTGCGAAGGTTAACAGCAATGCGGAACGATGTTGTCTTGAAAGTTAACCCCAAAGCAGAAACTGCACACTTGTAAACCAGTGCAGTGACAACATCAACACGCGTTGGATTTTTCACCTTGTGTGATGATACCATGGCTTTGAGGGACTCAATCTTCGAAGCTTTGAACACAAACCTTCTGCATACAGTGTTGTCTTTCACAAACAAAACTTCTGGGAAAACAGGTAAGTCACCTTGTGGGAATATTGAAACTCCTGCATCAAGTGCAGGGTAAGGTAATAATAACTCTGCTTCATGAGAGTTATCTCGATTCATGGTGGCCCAGTCATTGACGAAGTTGAAGAGTGTGGAAGCATCACCAACTTTGTGACACATACACACACTGATTGCCATGCCACCACATGCAAAAGAGTTGATTTGAACGGCTACTAAACTTGCACTTGAACTCATATCCTTCCATTGCAATTCATCAGGGAATAAAGGGTTCAGAAATGCTTCTTTGGGGTTCTGAAGGATCTCTGATAGCTTTATTCTGATCCTTGTGACCAGCAATGACACCCCTTCGTCGTTGCAATCAATGGAAAGTTGATCTCTGAACCTTCCTGCAAAAGGGTAGTATCTAGATAGAACTTCAGATAAGGATTTTTTGAGAGATGATATTTTGGATGTTTGGTCACAAAGTTGAGGATCATCATCACATTCATGGCACTCGTTTGGGGAGTAAAAGAAAACTGTTGGCACATAATTACGAAAAACGATGTGATCTATGAATGAGAGTGGATAAATTCTGAGGTGAGGTGGAGTGGGTACAGAGGGTTTGATGGTTTCTCTAGATATTAATTTCATTTCCATTGTTTCCTCTCTTAAAAATTCTCTGTTATCCCTACAATTTTGATGCGTATTAACTATATTAACTTCCTCTCAAAACTTACACTCTAGTATTTATCGCCCAACCTTCTAGTCTTTATCGCCCAACTTTGTACCCAACCCTCTAGTATTAATTGAGTTTCGTTATTTCTCCTCTAAAAAATTTTATCCACTTATTTGAATCATGATTATTTTTATTTTTATTTTTTATCTTTATTGTATTTTTTATTTAGATTCATCTACCACCAACTCCAAACAACATTATTATTAACATGTTAATAATGATGTTGATGTTGATATTGTATTTGAATCCTTATGAAGTTTTTCTAATAAAAACTCTACAACTACTATAAAAATTTAGAAAAAGGTGAAAGAAAAATCTGATTTCATTGATTCAAATTTGATCTAAATTAATGGTAATTATGACAACGGGAGAAATTTAATATTTTCTTCATATCATAAGTAAGAGAGATATTTAAAAAATGTTGAGAAAATAGAATTATTATTTGTGTCAATGTGAACTCAAAAGGGGGGTTTGACTGATAGAGAGCATCCTGTTTTGTCCTTATTGACCGAACTCAAGAGAATACTTTATGCCACTTTTGTACATTTCAGCTTAGACACCTTTGGACGTGCCAAGCAAGATGTGGAAGAGTGGTGCCAAGGAATCTATCTCTCAGCTGAAACAGGAGAATATCTTCAGGATCTTGGATATATTGAATTTTCGATGGATTTTCCATTCATAATATGACACGATGTTTTACTTTTTGTTAAATTACTTTTTCATCCAATTTTAAAATAAATTATTTATTAACAATTTGATAAAAATAAGACACATGTCATATTGTGAGTGAAAAATACACTAAACGTGAATGTAGCACTGAATAAATGTTCCTGAAAGAAGACTTGAAGCCTAAAAACCACATATTTATTTACTAGCACCAACCAATAAAAGGAATAGTAACCATTTTGTCACATTTTTACAAAAAAATTATTCAACTGTCATGCGAACAGTAAATTTTTTCAAAATGTCACGCATACAAGTTTGCTATAGCAGATTGTGAACTTCGTTTGCTGATATGACAACCCAGTTTGCTACTGATACTAGCTAATTAGGTGATCTAAACAAAAGTAGGACACGTGATAGCCTTTCCCAAATTCGTTGTACCCTCTAGCGAACTATAAGAGAGAATGTCAAATGTGTTTGGTATTTAATGTGAAATAAAAAATATAATATAAAATATGAAAGTACTAAAAGCGTTTGCCATAAAATAAATGAAGATGATGTTGAATAGCAAAAGCAATTTAATGATAAAAAGCAGAAATATGTGCCGTGTGTCTGTCATTCTCACTCATAGTTCGCTAAAAGATACAATGAATTTGGGAGACGCTAACACAGTGTTCTACTTTTGTTCAAAGGAGACAGACATTTTTATCACTTAGTTCGCTAATACTAGTAACAAATTAGGCGGCCACCATAAATATGACACGTTAGCAAACAAAGTTCAATATTTGATGTGGGGAATTTACACGCATGATATTTTGAAAAACTTTAACGGTTGAGCAATTTTTTTAAAAAAAATTGACAAATGAGTCACTGTTCTCCGATAAAACAAGAGCCTTTCTGGTATGCATATACGTACGTACAAAGCTCTGTTTGTCAATCCCATGTACGTCAACTTGGATTACTTCTTTTTAGAGTGTCTTAAATCAGATAATTGTTTACACAATAATCGTTGCTTCTAGTGCTAGTGATCTACAATTCCATGTGAATCCTATATGTCAATGGTTGGAATCGATACTTTGCCTAATCATAAAACTAAATAAAAATATAACGAAAAAATGTTTGTATTGATTTTTCTAGAGTTGGAATTGCTATGGGTTTTTTTTTTTTTTTTAAATATGAATAACTCTATTTCTTATTGACTGAATCAAGCTAATTGTTTATGTTATTAAGGCTATACATGAGCGGTATTGCTGTAATCGCAAAGATCGTGGTGTCACTAGTTTATGATTGTTCCAATTCATCTTCTTCAACCTTTATTAAACAAGGCCTGAATTTGTTATTGATTTAAATTAAGGGTTTAATGTATTTTCAGTATAACTTATTTCTAGTGAGTTCAAAATGATATCATTTTGAAATCGAATAAATAATATTTTTGTAATTCTAATTTATTCTAGGATTATATTATTTTTATTATTATAATTTTTTAATCTTCCAACCAATAAATAACATTATTTTGCATTGTTGTAAAACCCGGCCCGACCCAGTCACCAGACCGGTTCGGTTCAAGCATTGGACCGGTCATGCATCGACCCGGTCAAATCTGGTCAAAACCGGTAACCCAGTGACCCGGTTGGGTCATGCATTTAAAAAAAAAAACAAAAAAACAAAATTGTTTCAGCTTGTCAAAAAAATGTAGAACTCATTTTAATTTTTTTTTGTAATTTTATTTGCTAGTATACTCTTCTACAATGACCTCAAATTTCAGCTTCCAATACTGAAGCAATTTGCGGAATAATAAATTAAGAGATTGTGACATATGTCATTTTTAATGTAGTTGAATTTGAAAAATATGAGTTCAATGTCTTTAAGAGGTATGTTTATACGGATTATGAACTGCAATTTAAATTGACATAGTAATAGTATGCATTTTTATTTATTTATGCTTCATGTTTTTTAGCTTATTTAATGAACCTTATTTAATTCATTTTAGATATGGAGAATATAATTAAATTTATATGTTCATATTTATATATATATTTATATATACATACATATATATATATACATATATATATATATATCCGGGTCAACCGGTCCTACCAGTGACCCACCGGTCCGACCAGTGACCTAGTAACCCAGTAACCCAGTACCCTGACCGGGTCGATGCCCGGGCCGGGTTTAATAACACTGTTATTTTGTGTTTATTGGAGACAATTTTATTTTCAGTTACTATTTAACCCTTAGGTAGTGTTTGGTGGCTTTTTGACCCTTTTGCCCCTCATTAATTAATTAATAACCAATTTGCCCCTGATCCAGAACTATCCACCAACCTGTCCCCTTTTAGTCGACTACCTTGCTTTTTTAGTGGAGCAAATGGTCAAAATTCAGAAAGTGGACTACACCAAATTTAGTCGACTAAAAAATCATCTTAATCGACTACATTTTTGGGATATTTAGTCGACTAAGGCACGATATTTAGTCGACTAAATATCGACGGATTTGTTTTTAAAAAAACCCCCATTCGGCAGAGGGGGGTAGGAAACCTAATCGACTAAGGAGGCGGCCCACACCCCAAATCCGCAGGAGCAGCTGAAGAACGCCCCAAACCCTTCCCTCAGGCGTGTGGATTGCACCAAAATACGGTCCAAATCGTGAAATCTCAAGGATAGGTAAGGTTTCTTAACTTGCATTGTGTTTTAGGTTTTGGAATTTTTTTTATTTGTTTGCTGTCCGAATTTTTGAACCCTAATCAAAGCGTTTGTTTTAGGTTTTGTAACCCTAATCTACTAAGGTTTATTTTTTTGCATTGTGTGAATTTTTTTGTTTGAAAAGTTTGTATGTGGGAAAAGTTTGCTTTTGGTTTACAGCCCTTATGTTGCAAGTTTTCATTACCATCATGACATGTTTCATATAGTTAAATGCTGACATGTTTCATTGTAGGTACCCTAAACAAATGACGGGCCGCAGAAGACCAAGCGATGAGGGCAATGAGTCACTTGAGAGACGCACCAAGCATAGGCAAGAGCGGCCTTCTTCGTCAAGGCCACAAGACGAAGAGCCTGATACTGTTGACCTCCCGTATGGGTATCTGTTTGAGGACGACCCTGCCATCCACGCTTCATTCGTACGTGACCATTTGAACCGGCCGTTATGTGCTCCAAAATCTTTGGATACAACCTCTTTTGATAAGGAGGGATTTGAAATTATGGGGGTGTTGGATGCGGCACATCTGAGGGTGTTGGCCGAGACCTTATGTCCGTATTCAGAGCTTATGGTGCGGGCCTTCTACCATAACCTCAGCTACGTACAGGGCGAGCTGAAGTCGAGGGTCTGTGGAATAGAGATCATCATGACGGCACCTGCATGGTTGGAGATACTCGGCTATGATTTTGACTCTTCTCAAACTGTGGCGTATGACGCTGATAGTGGTGTAGTACTTCCAGGATATGTACGAGAGGATGCCGTGCAGGAGCAGAGAAGAGTCCGTGGGGAACACTTGCACTATACGGTGGGGTTGCTTTCTGTGGAGTCTCGTATACTGCACTATGTCCTCGCCCACGTTCTGTTTCCGCGATCTTTTAATCATTCCAGGGTGTTGGAACATGACATTCCCATTATGTGGGCTATCCGACATGCTCAGATGGTGAACTGGAGGCACTATATCTGTTGGTTTATGTTTAAGGCCAAACATAAGGGTCATCTTCCATACGTCTGGTACAGAGGATATTGGTTCACTTTGGTGTTCCCATGGAGATTGAGCTGTTGAAGAAGACCACGGGCTATAATTGCAAGTTCGGAAAGCGTCTATTGGAGCAGTGCAAGATTACTAAGAACACAAGATCGGGTGTGTGGGAGTTCAGTGGTATGCCCCAGGTTGAGGTTCCTTATGTTGCCCCAGATGACCACATTGTCGTGCCTTAGTCGACTAAATATCCCAAAAATGTAGTCGATTAAGATGATTTTTTAGTCGACTAAATTTGGTGTAGTCCACTTTCTGAATTTTGACCATTTGCTCGACTAAAAAAGAAAGGTAGTCGACTAAAAGGGGGCAGGTTGGTGGATAGTTCTGGATCAGGGGCAAATTGGTTATTAATTAATTAATGAGGGGCAAAAGGGTCAAAAAGCCAGTGTTTGGTTGAAGATTTATTTTGGGATTGATCGGAAAGTGTAAGTGGATATTGGAAAATACCACGTTTGGTTCAAGTTTTTTAAAAAAATACTAGGCAAATAGAATAGAAGGAGAAATGACTTTTGTGTTGATTTTTGGATGAAATTCACTGTTGCAGAATACCACTTGAGATGTGGTATTTTGAGATAACTGGAGAAGTGAAAAAACAGGTGCGAAGTTTCTCCTGAACATAGATTTTTCAAATTTAAATAAATTTCTCTGGTAATATTTCGGTCAACCAAACAACTTTTTTTACATTTTCCTACTAAACTCACTTTCCAACTATTTCTTTAGTAATTACATTTCCCTAGTATTCAAAAAAAAATTCCTCAACCAAACGAAGTAAAACAAAGAAACTTTTTAGACGGATTAATGTAAAATTAGGATTAACTTAAAATTTTGCATTGATTCACTCAAACTAATGTATTGCGTACTTTAGGATTGAAGGTAACTGTTACACTTTTATTGAAGGTAACCGTTACACTTTTAAACAAGTATTAGTTTACTTATACTTTAAAGAAAAATAATGGCTTAAAATATCAAATAATTATCTAGCAAACAAACAATTCTTTTAGGGGCCGTTTGGTAGGATGAAAAAAAAAAAAATTCCCTAGAAAGTGGAGTTGGATAAAATATTTAGCCATGTTTGGTAGGTGGAAATTTAAAAACAAGATTGGAAAATTTTCTTCCCGTCAAATTATTTTCCACATCCACATGTTATACAATTTTACCATTGAGAACATGGTAAAAAAAACTTCTGTTACCCAAACCCTTTGGCACAGTTGGTCCGGAGGCTGTGTTCCCTTAACCAGTGGTTTCGAGTTCGAGCCCTGAATATGAAAAAAAAGATTGGGTAGAGCCGCCCCCGCAAGGATCCTACGGTGCTCGGTTTGGAATTAGTCTCACCCCCGAAGGGGGTGGGGATACCTTCAGTTACTGAAAAAAAAAAAAAAAAAACTTTCATTGGTGGGGAAAGTTTTAACATTTTATGAAGACCAAAAAATTCTTCTGAGCCCCGGTTCATCAGTCCTTCTTCGTTCAATGCCTCATTTTCGTGCAGCAGGAGCAAGCTATGGGGTGTGTGCCAACTAACTTGATAACCAACTCCAGCAATACTAATAAAAATCATGATAATGAGTAAATCAATAGATGTATGCATTTGAACACATAAACATCTGTTCATGAGCAATGAAAATATTTGAAAATCAAATGTTGAACACAACGATGGCTTTGTGCGATAAAACACCAACGGGGAAAAGTTTTAACACATGTTCATCTGAAGGACAATCGGTTGAAGCTCTTCCTCGCCTGGCAGTCCACGGTGTGGCTGGTAGGTGTTGGATAACGAAGGTGTCCTTTGTAACCACCACCTGATATTGTCTTAGAATGATTATTGTTGATCTGCTTTCTCATTTGGCAGACTTTTTTTTTTTTGGTAATCTAGGGGAAAAAACCCTAGAAGATCAATTCAAAACAACTTTACGAAAAAAACAAACCGAAGAAAAATCAGCCAAATACAAAGGCCAAATACCAGGAGGGGGTAAAAAAAATACACACATTATTCTCTAAATAATTGTCTAAGGGATACTTAGAGAGCCAGTCAGCACAGCCATTGCTCTCTCGAAAAGCATGAATCAGGTGAACATCCCAGTCCTTCTGTAACCATGCTCGAATATGAGCCACCAGACGAGACTCTCGAGCTGCGCCTCCACTATTGGTGAGCAAAGTGATAACCGAACTATAATCACTTTCTAAAATACATCCTCTCCAACCACCATCCCAAGCAGCTTGAAGACCTTTTAGGATACCCCATAGTTCAGCTACAAAAGCTGAACACTGCCCTATATGATAAGCCACACCATGTAACCATCGGCCTGAATCATCTCGTATAATAACTCCACAAGCAGCCCCACCACCAGCATTTCTAGCCGCTCCATCCGTATTAATTTTAATCCAACCTGGCTCCGGAGGAATCCAACAAACAGGAATAAAATGCTGAGTTTTTCTCAAGATAGTACCATTAGCAAGAGTCCAAGATTGGGAAATCTCACGGATGTGAGTATAAATGGTCTCAGCTTTGTAAGCAGACCAAGTAATATCTGTACCATGAACCTTGCTATTCCTCCAAAACCAAGCATTCCAGATTATCACAGCAAATAGAAGAAACCAAGGAACAGACTTTACTAAGAAGAGGAGTAGCATATTCGACCTTCACACCACTTCAACAAGTTACAATTTTGCTGCTTTGAGAGAGAAAGAGAATGAGGATGAATGTATAAAATTTGACATACCAATTTCAACAATATTCAAATTCATGGACAGTTTCGTAATTTCGGTTAATATTGTCATCATTTTTTTACAATCAACCAAATAGAGCTTAGTAAAATGAATCCCAAGTTTTTCGACAAAATTTTGAGCCACCAAACACCTTCTCGTTACTTACCCCGTAACAAAAATTTCTCATCATATTCTCATAAAACTTTTCTTCCGGATAAAAAATATTTCTCCCGTAAACCTATAGGAAAAAGAATTCTCCCATGGACAAAACGCACTTAATTTCATTCTCAGTTTCACAAGATTGAAATGGGGCCCAGTATTAAGCATTATATTTATGGGCTCAGCTAAAAACATCCATTTGTTGATGACATATTTATGGGGCCTTTGCCTAGGGAAGGACTGGACTGATGTGATAACTAGTAATTGGAAGGGCAAGCGCGTGACACGAGCCAACCCACGAACAACAAATTTAATTAGAAAAAAAGTTTAATTTATTTACGGGGTTGCATTTTCTTATGCAATATGAGAGGTAGTGGCGGACCCAGATAATTATATGAAGGGGGCGAAAATTTAACAAATCCGACTTATAGAATTTTAAATAAAATATAATTTAACAAGTATACTAAATTGACAAATTTAACATAAATTACTTTATTGCCATCTGCCATGTCAACAATGAAAAGTAAGAGAATCACAATCTTAAACCAAAAAACATGTACAACAGTCTCAAGAGATGCAACCATTAAATAATTTTAATAACAAATATAATCAAATAGCTAAAATAAATCCAAAAAGAGGGGGAAGCTTGTAGAACCCCAAATTAGGCGAGAACCTAAAACTAACATCATAAAGTTCCATAATGCCCACATCACTACAGACCCATATACTTCAGTTATCAAGCACCATAAAGCTAAACAAATAAATTCCAAAAATTATTGCAAACTATAATTATTTTATACCCATTTTTTTTCTTTCACTTTCTATTGGTTTTTGAGCATTCGAACAGCATGAAACTACAAAAAGATCACAACTTTACAAAGAGAAAGTGAAAATACTCACAACAGGAAAATGGGTATCAAGTTTCTTTCTCATGCTAATAGATTTTTGGTATCAAATGAAGCAAAAGAAGGAAACTTAGAAAGTGAAGTCGAAAGCTTTGAACAAAAAGATTGTATCCATCATCAACAAGATGAAATCAATGCAACTCATTTCAGATCCAAAGGGCACACAATACTAGTCTTGCTAAAGTAACCCACCAGTTATGAAAAATGAAATATACTACGTATTTTTTGGAGATGTAGACATTTTTTTTCAGATTTTAGAGGGGGGCGGCCGCCCATGCACGCCCCCCATGTAGGTCCGCCCTGATGAGAGGAGCTTTTTTCCTATACATACAACTAAGTGGGCCCATTAATTTATAAAAAAAATATTAACACAGAAATCAAGCTCTTACTAACATGAGAAAAACTTTATTCCTACTACATGAGATTTATTTATCCCTTTATTTATTTTTGGATCAGTTTTGGTCTTTGGGATCAACCCTCCGCTAGTATTATTTAGTTTAGCTGTCACGTCATTAAAGTAAGTATGCTAGTTTGGGTTGGGATCAGTTCATTCAGATTATCATCCTTGTATATACAAAAAAAAAAAAAAAAAAATATCATCCTTGTAAACTTTAAAGTTGAAACATGTACGCTATTCAGTACAACTTTGCTAGATAATGTGAATGAAAATCTAGTGTGTGTTTGATTGTATTTTTGTTTTTAAAATTATTTTATAAAACAATTTATAAAAACTGTTATGTAAAAAAAAATAAAAAAAAATCTGTTTGATTATAATTACCATAATGTCATTAATAAAAGGGTTTTATAAGAATTATGTTGTAGGAAAAGTGATTGTGTAATGTTATAGAGAATTATTTTGTGTGCCGTAGTTTTTTTTTTGCTTCAAAAAATGTAGGCTCCACAAAATGTTATATGTGTAGGAAACTTTCTTGTGTCATGTTAAATGATAAATGCAAATCCCTTAATTAAATGTTGTTCTCCGCATTTTTATCACTTTTAAGAGTAAGAGGTATTTTCTATTTTTTGTTTTAAAAATTAAAGAACAGATATATTTAGAATAGCAAATACAAAAAACTCATATCAAACAAATTTTTTATTTTTTGTTTTGTTTTTAAAATTAAAAAACCAACAGAAATCAAACAGAGCCCTAATCTCTCTATCTGTTAAGCTTTATTTACATCATATTTTAATTAATATCCTTCCTACTGATTGCCGAATAACATCCCTTTCACAGCATTATTTTAGCTGAAACAGTGTATTGCAAGATCACAAGTCACAAGTACCAGTAATAACAAATTCTAAAAATAATGCTTTAGTATTTCTCTGATTTAACAGATCAAATTTTTATTTAAGTTCTTATTTATTTCTTAAATTTGGTACATGACTTAAAGACATATTGCCAGCAAATAAACAATGTAAACATGGCCTCTGTAACTCTGTTTGAGTTAGAGGTAGCCCATTAGCATGTCCATCGGTTTGGACTAAGAGAGGCATATTGAAGAAGCTCCACATCACGCTCAAACATGACCATGTCTTTCTCTTCCATGAACACAAGCGCTTCAATCCCATCCCCATCTCTTGTGTCCATTAAAATTATGCTATTCCTCGCGGAGCAGCCACTAGTTGTCACCCATATTGGCTTGCCCCACCCAAAATCCGCTTCATAAATTGGGAATCTGCACCAGCTGGCAAAAAAGAATGAACTTTCCTTCTCCTTATCAGGGGACACTGAAGTTGAACTTGCTTGTTTTTTCTTCTCTAGGAAAGAAGTAACTTTTTTTAGGAACTCATACACAAATGAAAAATCCCCAAAGTTTTTCACATTTTTGTCACAAAACTCAGATAACCCTTCTCTCATTTTGCTTACCGAATCATGTAATTCCATTTCCCTCTCGTGTTCCATGCATTGGTTGGAAGCGCTGAAGCTCCAAACCAAGTTTCCAATAGACTTGTCAGGAAGTGGAGGAACCATTCTTCTGCGGAGGTTGATAGTAACAAGCAAAGGTGTGTTGTTATTTAGTCTCAAAGCAGAAACAGCACACTTGTAAATAAGTGCAATAACAACTTCAACACGCGTAGGATTTTCCACCTGGTGGGATGATACAATAGCCTTAAGGGACTCAATCTTCGACCCATCAAACACAAGCCTTCTGCATGCTGTGTTCTGTTTCACAAACACAAATTCTGGTAAAACTGGCAAGTCCCCTTGTGGGAACATTGAAGCTCCTACATCAAACACTGGGAAAGTTAATTCTCCTTCTTCAAATCTGTTCAAGTTGGCCCAGTCATTGATGAAGTTGAAGAGAGTGGAAATATCACCAACCTTGTGAGACATACACACACTGATTGCCATTCCCCCACATTCAAAACAGTTGATTTGAATAGCCACTAAACTTGAACTTGAACCCATGTCCTTCCAATTCAACTCATCAGGGAATAAAGGGTTCAGCAATGCTTCACTGGGGTTCTGAGCAACCACAAATAGCTTGCATTTGAACCTGGTGACAAGCAATGACACCCCTTGGTCGTTGCAGTCAATGGAACGTTTATCTTTCAACCTACCAGCAACTGGGTAGTATATGTGTAAAACTTTAGATAAGGATTTCTTGAGCATTAATATTTTGGATCCTTGGTCATAAACTTGGCCTGGGGCATCATAAGAATCATGTTCACAGCTTTTGTTTGGATAAAAGTGAAGTAATGGCACTGAATTTGGAGCAACGATATTATCTATCAGGGAGAGAGGATAATTAGTGAGGGAAGGAGGGGTGGATGCAGAGGGTTTGATGGTTTCTCTAGATATTAATTCCATTTCCATGATTACCTCTAATTCTATTGATCATCCTTTCTTACTCAGGGAATGTTGTTATATACACATCTAATCAATCCTCGTAATTCCTTTCTCTTTTTTGTCTTTTATCATGTAAAATATACATATTAAGGTATTGAATTAATATTTCTTTTAAACATTAAAAAGCACATGTATAAAATATGAGGTAGGTGTCATATGAATGGTGTCACATGCTTGCAAATCAGAGTCGTTGATCTTTTTTGATCTAACAGCTGCCAGATTTGACACTGATGTTAAACTATCCTACTTCAAAAAATATATGAAAGACCAAATTAACGTTTCCTGTTTGACTATTTAGTTTTGTTTTTATTAGTCAGGATATATTCGAAAGGATGGAGTACAGAATCAGAAAGCAGGTGGTATCTAAGGGAGCCATGGTCCCCCCAACTTTCAAAATCTGTTTCTAAATCTCCATTTATTATCTAATTTGGTGCCTCAAACATTGCACAATTCCTATATTATTGTACGCTGGTATTGTATGATATTTAATTTTTTTTTGGAAGATAGATCATTAATTAATTAGATGTTTCAATTTTACTTTATGAACTTTTGTATTTATACTTGTACCAATAATCCAAGAATCTTTCTGGTATATATTACAAAACAAGATGAGGACAACTCATAATCTATGGGGTGAAATTGTTGTCGTGTGTTTAACCTTTATCGTGATTATATGTTGATAACAAGGACAACTGACCTACTAATAGCAGCGGCGACCACCCAGCTATTAAAACAAATCAATTTTCCTAAATATAAAGTATAGCTTGATTTCAAGCCACTCAAGTGACTCAACTTTATGTGTTATTAAGCTAAAGAACTTATCTTTCAGAGTTCGGAAATTAAATTTAACAAAAAATTATCCTGATAATAAATATTAATAAAAAAATGATTAGTAATAATGAAAATAGACCGTGAAAATTTTATCCACTCATTTGAATCCTTATGATTATTTTTATCTTTTTTTTTCTTCTCATCTTTTGATACTTTTTATTTGGATTTATCTACCACCAACTCTAATTAATTTGGAATAAAAGTGTTAATAATGATGTTGATGTTGTATTTGAATCCTTATGAAGTTTTTCTAATAAAAACTCTGTACCACTACTATAAAAATTTAGAAGAAGGTTAAAGAAACATCTGATCACATTGATCCAAATTTGATCTAACAGTAATAAAAAGTGGCGGGCCCACCTTTAAAAAAAAATGACATGGAAATGAACTGAAAGTAGCAGGAGAAGACACTTATCAGGATTAACCTAACGGTTACACTTTTAAATAATTACCAGTGTAGTAACTGTGTGATGCACGGAGAAAAAAGATCAAAAATTTTGTCGGTGTCTATCGTTGGTTAATCGTTAAAAGAAAGAACCGTGCCAGTATTTTATGCAAATAAAAAATAGTTATGTACTCTATAATTGATTATTTTCATATACAACAATGCATACAACATCAAAAGTGATGAGAATATGAGATGCAAATTGTCCTACCAAAGAGAAATCATCAAAAAATGAGGAAAAGTTCTTGCGCTCAATATTATCCAGAACAATTATTACCAGTCATGGATGCGCTCAATCAATAATAAGATATCTTCATATACAGCAATCCATATAATAACAACAGTGATGATATGCATATTGTCTTACCAAATAGAAACGTTCAAAAAATGAGTCAAAAGTTCTTGTGCTCAATACTATCCAACACATTGAACAGCACCTTACAAAGGCAAAAGAAAAAAAAAAACATGAAAGAAAAAACAAATATGTTACAAAAAATAAATAGGTATTGATTCAACAATAAATAATGATACAACAACAAACAATTCTTTTAGGTAGTGTTTGGCAGAGGTCTTTTTAGAAGATACATAGGCATCAGAAATAGGTATTCTTTGTTGCCCACGTTTGGTTCAAAATATTGCAAGATTTTGGCATGAAACACATTTCCCTGTGCTTTGACATTTGTATGTAAAATGCAACAAAAATCATTGTTCAATAAAACCACTTCCAATGTGGTATTGTGACTTAGATGATGACTAAAGGGATAAAAGACAACAAAAAAATTGACCATAATACTCTCTTCTTCAACCTATTATAATGTCGTCATGCCTCAATCATCACACTTCAAATTTCAGTCAGGGCCCCCCATGATTGGTTCAAAAAATTTAAAGGGTTATTTTTGTCATTTCAACCTTTTTTTCCTATCAATATTTTATATTTAACCAAACATGGACTCTGAAAATTTAAATAAATTTGTCTGGTAATATTTTGGTCAATCAAACAACTTTTTTTAAACTTTTCTATCTAACTTTATTCCCTATCATATTCCTAGTAATTAAGTTTTTCCGATAAAAAAAAATTTTCCTCTACCAAACGCACATGCCTTATGCTGCTTTTGTTTTTAACCACGTCACCCACATTATGTCCAATAGTAAGTTACTAATAAGATTTTACTTTAAATTTTAAAAGTCATGATGTTCGCATGGCAAAGAAGTTAAAAACTAAATAATCAACAAATCATCAGTGGAATATTCGCCTTAATGTGGTGACAAATCAACACGCACATTATCCAAAAGTTGTTGATTGATCATATGCTAAATTAACTTGAAAAAATTGTCAGAAAGTTTATTTATTTTAATTACACATTTTGAAATATAGAGAAAAAAAATTATTCTTACAAAAATCAGAAATCTATTTTAACAGAAGATTGAGAGTCGTTAAATAAAAATGTTAAGTACACAATAAAAAAGAATTTAATTTTTTTTTTGGCCATAAGAATAATCACTTGACATTTTATTAATTATTAACATATAAGAAAAAAAAATACTTGAAGAAAAGAAAAAGACCTAGCTAATGAAGAATTTGGATAATTTTTAAAATACGTGACACTATATATATAATTTATGTGACACAAAAGTTTACTTAATTTATTTCTTCTGATCCAAATGAAAGTAATTGGATGAATAGTTTAAGGGAAAAAGAAGTATCATTTTGAATGACACAAGCTTGTGTCATTTTAGGTGTTTTACACAAAGTATGACCGGTCGTACTTTGTGTAAAACTGAAAAAAAAAAAAAATCTCTCTTCCAAGTCACATCGCTGACGTGTAAATTGAAAAAAAAATAACTTTTCAGAATTACAGTACGACCGGTCGTACTCTGTGTAAATCACTAAAAGGACACAACTTGTGTCCTTTTAAATGACACACACTAAACCCATAGTTTAAATTACGGAAAAAGAAATATCTTTTTGAATGACAAAAGCTTGTGTCATTTTAGGTGTTTTACACAAAGTACGACCGATCGTACTTTGTATAAAATTGAAAAGTTGTTTTTTTTTTCTCTTCCCAGTCACATCACTGACGTGTAAAGTGAAAAAAAAAAATAACTTTTTAAAATTACACAGAGTACGACCGGTCGTACTGTGTGTAAATTACTAAAAGGACACAACTTGTATCCTTTTAAATGACATACACTAAACCCTTTAAATTATGAATTATTTAGCCGGTCCGGTCAAGCCAGTGTTAAATGAGAGCACTAGGTTTGCGCCTGTTTTGGCACTATTGACAGCATTGAGCAGTGCAAACTTGCGGGATTTATATTAAGAATTGAACTTAGCTATTTTACAGTAATATTATATCATTCCACTCAGGATAGATTTACAATTTTAATTCTAAGGGTGATTGTTGGATTTTTGGTTCTAAATCTCATGGGTTATGAATAAGAAGTGTGATCTAAAAAGGTGTCTTTTTTTCGTCAAAAGGACGTGTCTTTTCATGTCGAATTGATGTGTTTTTTCGTGTCAAACGAATGTATCTTTTCAAGTCGAACTGATGTGTCTTTTCGTGTCGAACGAATGTGTCTTTTCATGTTGAACTGATATGTCTTCTTGTGTCGAACGAATATGTTGTTTCGTCGACGAAAAGATGTATTTTGAATCATGACCTTACGTTTTCTATAAATATATAGAGAGTCAAAATTTTAGTTGAGTTTTCTTTTTCTATGTATTGTGCATCCATACCCTAGTATTAGATAGTGTGATTCGTCAGACATTAAGTTGTGTTCGTCCGGGCTCTTGATTGATAATATCATCATTCTTGAGACGTAATCTGTTCTATCTTGGGAGACTATTGTTCATCAACCTTCGACATCAATAGAGGGAACCAATTGTCTTAAAGAGACAATATCTGTTGGGCTCGAATTTATCTACATATTGACATCTCTTTTATATATCCTGCGAGTTCGTTCCTTATTTCTTCTTGCACTTTAATTGTAGATTTAATTATAGCATTTTCGTTGTATGGATTCAAATCTCTTGGTGATTATTCACCTCTCTCTTCAACAACATAGATTAAAAACTAGATATATCTCTTCAAATACTTAAGTAAAAGAAAATCTAACATTTATATAATATAAGCATACAAAATGAGATAAGTTCAATTTACAACGAACATGCTATTTATATTAGATACACTCATAATTAATATAATTGAATATAAGACAATTAATTATGATATTTTTAATGTTATTTTGGTTAGCTACCCTTTATGTTAATTGAGAATTGGTAGGGATTTTTATTTTACTAAAGCGCCATTTGGAATTGTGTTATATTCAGGGGACCACCGACTTATATGTAATAGTGTATAAATAAAAAAGTTGGAAGTTTGGGGCAAGATGGCTTCTCAATGTTCCCCTGCCTATTCCACTATTACTCTGCTGGGTTATATTATTTATTCTTTTAAAATAAGTTTTAAAATTCATAAAGAATTAAAATATAATAATGAATAATAAAAAAAATTAAAACAAGATAGTTTATTATCAATAATATCTAAAATTGTAAGTCACCATCTTTCTCTTTCATACTTTATTTTTTCAGCTTATTCGATGCTTATTTCGTGATTTTCAAAACAACAAGCAAGATATCAACTTTTATGAAAACAAAATATTAACAGAGGGTTCAAGTAGCAACAAATTTAAAATAAATATATGAACAATTGAAATTAAAAAATAGCAACTTACATCATCAACTTTTAATCAGACCAGAATTATCATCAACTTCTATATTTGGAGAATATTAATAATTATAATAAAATATTGTTAGTAACTTATGGATAATTCTGATAAGGAGTGGGACGATCGTCCTTTTAGATTTTTCCCTGGTTGGCAAGATCATGATAAGTTTTTTCCTTTCTTTAAGGAGAATTGGCATTCGAGTCTCAAGACAGTAGATAATTTTCAGTATCTTACTTCGGCTCTTAAGGTGTGGAATAAGGAGGTCTATGGGAATGTTTTCAATAAAAAGAAGAATTTGATGGCCAGAATAAATGGGGTGCAACAAAGACTAATAGCTCATCCTTGCTTCAGATTGGAGAAATTGCAGAAGAAATTACAAGGGCAATTAGACAAAGTGCTGGATCAGGAAGAAGAGTTGTGGTTTCAGAAGGCTCGGACAAAGTGGGTGGAGGATGGTGATAGAAACACTAAATATTACCATTCTAAAACAGTTAGCAGGCGAAGGAAAAATAAAATAGTGGAACTGAAAGATAATAATGGGCGTTGGGTGAGAAATGAAGATACTTTGAAAGACTTGGTGCAAAATTATTATCGTAATCTATTTCTAAAGGATAGGAGCGAGAGAATTTGGCACTACTCACAATAGGTGGTCGAAACTTGAAGCCATGGAAATTGAGTTACTTCAAAAGCCAGAGGTTCCTAAGGAGGTTAAAAATGTTATGTTTATGATGAAAGGAAACAAAGCTCCTGGCGAAGATGGCTATCATCTGTGCTTTTTTCATAAAAATTGGGAGGTAGTTGGTAAGTCAGTGACGGAAGACGTTATTCGTTATATGCAGTTCCCTGCTTTGGTTAAGGAGATTAATAAAACTCTGGAGGTTCTCATTCCGAAGATTCATAAACCTGAATTGATAAGTCAATTGAGACCAATTTCTCTGGATAATACTATTTATAAAGTGATTAGTAAGGTTATTGTTAACCGCTTGAAGCCTCTTATAGCTAAGTTGGTATCCCCCAACCAGGTAAGTTTTGTGCCTGGTAGACAGATACAGGATAATATAATAGTTGCTCAAGAGTTAATTCATTCTATGCATCGTATGAAAGGGAATAAATGTTATATGTCCCTTAAAATTGATCTGGAGAAAGCCTATGATAGGCTTAATTGGCAATTCATCCGGAAGGTTTTAGAGGAAATTGAGATTCCTCAGCATATGGTTAACTTAATTTCTGAGTGCGTCTCTTCTACGGAATTTAATATCTTGTGGAATGAGGCAAAAACTGATAGTTTCCATGCGTCTAGAGGTATTTGTCAAGGTGATCCAATCTCTCCTTACATCTCCTTACCTCTTTGTTCTTTGCATAGAAAAACTCTCTCATATAATTGCAGATTTGGTAAATGATAGGAAATGGAAACCCATCAAGGCAGGAAGACGAGGTCCTCTAATCTTTCATCTCATGTTTGCTGATGACTTAGTCCTATTTGCTGAAGCTGATGAAGAGCAAATTAGGATTATTATGAATTGTCTCCAATTGTTTGGTGTAATTTCAGGGCAAAATGTGAATGCTGCCAAGTCACTGATTTATTTCTCTAGGAACACTCCTCAATCAAAGGCAGATGCTATTTCTCATATTTGTGGCTTCAAGCAGGAAAAACAGATTGGGAGATATTTAGGGTCGAGAATGAAGCATGGCAGAACAACTATCAACCATTATTCTAACATTCTGGATAAGGTGCATAATAGGCTTAATGGCTGGAATAGTCAGTGCTTGTCCTTTGCTGGTCGTGTTACGTTAGCAGATTCTGTTATTTCAGCCATTCCTATTTTCAACATGCAACATGGGTTACTCCCTAAGACCATTTGTAAGGAGATTGAGAAATTGGAGCGTGGATTTATTTGGGGTGATAATAATAATGATCGTAAATTGCATTTAGTAGCGTGGGAAGACATGTGTAAGCCTAAGGCAATAGGGGGACTGGGTCTTCGAAATTTATATTCCCATAATATGGCATTTATGTATAAATTGGCTTGGCAGATCATCAATGATAAGGATTCGCTTTGGATCAAAATTTTGGTGGCTAAGTATGGCCGTAACATGGACCTGCGTAGGAATATTGTAGTTAAGAACTTTGATTCAAGTCTTTGGAAGAGCCTCGGATATATTTGGAGTGATTTTCTCAAGAATATGAAGTGGGAGATTGGATCGGGGAATAATATTTTATTCTGGACATATAAGTGGATTAATGCCAATGATTCTCTTATTGATTTGGCTCGGAGTTTGCCTAATGTAGAAGAGCTGGAAAAAAAAGTTTTTGATTATATGTCTCCTTTGAATATGTGCTGGGAGTTGGATCATCTTAGTCAATTTCTAGATGAGGATGTTATCTCTAAAATTCAAGCGATTTTGCCTCCAGGAAGGGTAGAGGAAGAGGATAGTCTTATTTGGAATATTCATCCTGGGCAGCACTCCATTGTTAAATCTGCTTACCATTCCATCATTAACTCCCATTCATTTCCAAGGGATCTTCTTTGGAAAAGGATTTGGAATTGGAAGGGGCCTCAAAGGGTGAAAACTTTCATGTGGACCTCAGCTCGTGAAAAGCTTTCCACTAAAAGTAGGATCAGTTCTTGGACACAGTCTGATAATTTTTGTTAAACGTAGATCATCGCCGTTAGGTCTTACGGATTCTCTTCAAAGAGCAATAAGGTTGCAGGAATAGCTCTGAATCTCATCTTCATGTTCTGCGAGATTGTGATATAGCCAAAGCTGTTTGGTCCAGGTGTGTTAATCGTTCAAGAACCAGTTATTTTTTCAGCTTGATTTCAATGATTAGTTTCGTAGGAATGTTTTAGAGAATTAGGGTACCAGTAATGACATAAAGAATTGGAATGATTTATTCTTTGTTGGTTGCTGGTTATTATGGAGTTGGAGAAATAAAGGGGTGCATGATCCCAACTTTAGGTATCCTCATGAGCCATTTAGAGTGATTTATGAATGTTCAAAATCGTTCAAATGGCGTTCTGATGTCCATGATACCTATCACATTGCTGAAAGCTTGAATCGTAGCTGTGTTAAATGGATTGCTCCTAACCAAGGATCGATTAAGTTAAATGTTGATGGTGCTTGTCAAGATAATGGTCGAAAGGCTGGTTGCGGTGGTATCCTTCGGGATACGTTAGGTTCCTGTTTAGGTGCCTTTTCATATAAAATTGGTTCTTGTGATCCCATGGAAGCTGAAATTTGAAGTTTTTTTAAAGGCTTAGAATTTGCTTGGAATGCAGGGGTATCTAATCTTATTGTGGAGGGAGATAACTTGTCCATTGTCAATCATTTTCATAATCCTGATCCTAGACGTCCTGAATCCCATCTAATGAAGAGTATAATATCCTGGCTGAATAGAGATTGGAGGGTTTGTTTCCAACATACCCTAAGAGAAGCTAATACCTGTGCTGATTGGCTTGCTCATGAGGCTATTATCCAAGATGTTGTTTTCTGTCAGTATACTTCTATTCCTTCTCAGTTAGAAAGGCTTTTAGCCTTAGATAATATAGGAGTTCCTACAGCTCCTATTTAGTTCATTTTTGTTTTGTAGTTTTTTCTTTTCTTCTTTTTTCTTTCTTCTGGGCGTTCAACCCTCATCTTGTATTAAAAAAAATATACAAGTAGAATAAAGTAAATTACCTATCTCTGTCTTTACAAATTCTTCTATAAACTCTCCTAAATCATTGAAAAAATGAATGGACCAGAACCAATTTTAATAAATATGCAGAATAATAAATAATAAATACAAGATACATTGGATCAGTTTAGATTTGATCGGTTTTCACCAATCAAATCGAAAACTGATCCAATCCAATTAAAATATGCTGTTTTTTTTTTTTTTGAATTTTTGGTTTTCAGTTTTTCGATTCGGTCATCGCGGTTTGAATCGATTGATAAATACTCCTAATATATATGTGAAAAGATCCGTTTACAAACTTTTTTTACAAATTACACTAAGTATGACCGGTCATACACTCTTGATTAGTATATGACCGGTCATACTTAGTGTAATTTGTAAAAGTTTATAAACAAAAAATTTGTAAATATAACATTTGCCTCTATACAGGCAAACTTTTTGTTTGTAAATATATTATACAAAACCTTAAGTTTCTCTTCTTAAATCTTCAAAACATAATGGGTTTTCAAAGCATCGCATTTAAATACAAAGCAATTTCATAAGAATATTTCAGTCTCTAAAAATTTCAAGAAAAATGTTGACTTACATGAAATTTTTTACACAAAACAAGTTTATTTCACATCCTTGATTAAAAGCAAAGCATCCATCATCATGTTGTGTTATTTGTCCCTTCAATTGTTTAGCGCCGCTAACTCAATGAAATTCATAACAATAAAAGCAACGCATCCATTTTAAATTTCCAACTGACATGTAAGATATTGAAACAAGCATTTATTGTTGAGAGGAGTACAGACTACTTACTGCTCCTCATTTTACAAACACTTTCTTCGTCGAAGGAAGAAAAGACAGAGAGAGAGAGAGCGAGCGAGCATGATCAAGGAGAAAATCCTTAAAACTAATTAAGAGATGCATATTGAAGGAGCTCCACATCACGTTCAAATATGGCCAAGTCTTGCTCATCCATATTCACAAGCGCTACAATCCCATTCCCATCTTTTGTATCCATCAAAACTACACTATTCTTCACTGGAGAACCAATACTTGTCACCCATATTGGCTTACCCCACCCAAAGTCCACTTCATAGGTTGGGAGCCTACACCAGCTCGCAAAGAAAAACATAGCTAAAGGCTTCACCTGGTTAGAAGCATTTGAACTTGTTTCTTTTGGTTTTGGTAAAGAAGTAGCTTGTTTTAAGAACTCACACACAAATGAAAAATCCCCAAAGTTTTTCACATTTTTGTCACAAAACTCTGATAACCCTTCTCTCATTTTGCTCACCAAATCATGCAACTCTGCTTCCCCTGTGTCACAGGACACAGGAAAGGACCAAACCCAGTTACCTATAGACTTATCAGGAAGTGGAGGAACCATTCTTCTGCGGAGGTTTGCAGCAACTCGCAAAAGTGTGTTGTTATTTAATCTCAAAGCAGAAACTGCACGCTTGTAAATTAGTGCAATAACAACTTCAACACGTGAAGGGTTTTCCACCTTATTGTGAGATGAAACCATTGCCTTGAGGGACTCGATCTTCGAGGCTTCAAACACAACCCTTCTGCATACAGTGTTTCGTAACATAAACAGAGTTTCAGGTAAATCTGGTAAATCCCCATGTGGGAATAATGAAGCTCCAGCATCAAGCACAGGGGAGGGTATTAATAACTCTCCTTCTTCATCACTAGATTTTCGGTTCATGATGGCCCAGTCATTGACAAAGTTGAAAAGAGCGGAAGCATCACCAACTTTGTGAGACATACACACGCTGATAGCTATTCCTCCACATTCGAAAGAGTTGATTTGAATGGCAACTATACTTGCACTTGAACCCATGTCCTTCCACTGCAATTCATCTGGGAACAAAGGGTTCAATATTGCTTCATTAATGGGGTTGTGGAGGATCTCAGATAGCTTGCTTCTGATCCTTGTGACCAGCAATAACACCCCTTGGTCGTTGCAATCAATGGAAGTTTTATCTCTGAACCTACCAGCAAGAAGGTAGTATATGGATAGAACTTCAGATAAGGATTTCTTGAGCATTGATATTTTGGATCCTTGGTTATTATCATCATTTTCAGAGCCCTCGTTTGTGTAGAAGTAAACTACTGGCACGTAGTTACGAGCAACTATATGATCTATGAAAGAGAGGGGATGGATTCTGTGGTGAGAAGGTGTAGGTGTAGAGGGTTTGATGAATTCTCTGGATATTAATTCCATTTCCATGTTTCACTCTCTTGCTGATATCTTTCCTTTGTGATTAGTGTGTTATCACTCGTTCATTGCCTATCTCTATATATATACATTTGAAACGCCATCAAAATACCAAATTAATCAACAAATGAAAAAGCTTTTCCATGGGTCACAACTCACAAGATGTGTTTGAAGCAGAATTTAAAAGATTAGTTAGTCAATTTTTACCATTAAATTAAGGAAAAAATATTTACGCTGTTGCATATGATATACTTTTTGGAACGAATACACAGTCAAATATATTTTTCGAAATACATAGTTAAATTTTTATAAACAAACTCTATTGCATGGGACCCACTATTATTTTTATGGGACCCACTCTTTTATTTGTGAGAGTGACAAACCCACTTTTTCTACAGCAATTGTAGAAAATTTAAACCCTTAAATTAATCAAGAACCTTTTCGCTATATTCCAATTAACTTCGATAATTTTGAAGAAAAAAATTATTTTTATAGGTGTTTGAAAATAACTATGATTAAGCCCGAAAAAATGGACTAGTGATGAGAGATTTTAATAGTTTACATAAATTTAAGAAAAATTGTGTGTCATTTTAAATGACACATCTTATATCTTTTCACTCTCACTAAGAGGTGGGACCTACATTTTTTAAATTTTTCCCGCGCATTCTCTCTCCCATGATTTATCTCTTTCTCTCACTTAAAATGACATAATTTTACGTTCTTCAAAATGATACACACTTTCTCTCATAAATTTATTGGTTGGAATTTCAATGTCACCGTTATATGATAAAAACTTGGAATTATATTCTAATGATGCTACATATATAAAACAAATTATGAGCCATTAGAATTAGTTTAGTAACGAGGGATTTGAGTAATATGCATGAAGTTATCGTTTCAAGACATCATGCCATCATTCGATAAAACAAATTATGAACCTTTATATAATATAGCTTAAGTTCTCAAAAGTTTGGTCCTTAACAGTTCAAGTTTTTAAATGTACCTATATAAAATGGACAATACTCTAGCATGAAAAAAGTGTTGAAAATATAAAATCAATCCTGACCTTTCATTTAACAGTTTAAATAGCCATGATTCAAGTTCTGCAAATGGAAAAAACAGTTTTCGGAGAGCCATCCATGCTTTAGGATTCGACAATGCTTAAACCGAACTAATTTGAACAGTGGCGGAGTCACGTTGAAACCAGCAAGTGCCTTAGCACTAGCTGATTTTAAAAAATGAAGAGTTTTCTGGATGGAAAAAAATGAAGAGTTTTCTGGATGGAAGCTTGTTGTGGGTAATAATGGCAGAGCAACATTGGCACCGGCTGAAAGTGGCGAGAGAATACGAAGATGAGAGAGTGGAGCAAATGAGTAAATGGGTACGTGAAAAGCACAAGACTTTGGTTTGGGAGAAAATATGGTAGGTGGGCAAAGGTCACTCGGTCACATTGGCACTGTAAAGCTTTACTGGGATTTTGTCACTTTCTGTTGTTTTTCCTTTTTTATTTTTTAAAGCAATAATAAAAATAAAAAATAATAATAAAGAATATTTTTAATTTTTGGTGATGCTGTCACTGTTCCCTGTTCCGTTTTATGTATTAATTTTTTTTTTTTGGCACTGCCTGATTTTTGCTTACTGTTCCGCCACTGAATCCGAATGATGATCCAATTAGTAGAAATATTAAAAAAAAAAAAAAAAAGTCACGACCAACCATCATATAGCCGCACCATAAAATACTTCAATTTTTCTGTGTATTGTGAAGAGCATGAGCTCAAGAGAGTCACTTTATCGTGTAAAGATTGGGCAAAACAACTTTAATTCAATAGTTAAGAAATCGATTTAGTAAAACAACATTTCAATAAAAGATATTAATAAAAAATCTAACAAGATAATGATATGCATAAATTATCTTATATCATAATTAAATAAATTGATGAAGTGATTATGTGTATTAAAAAGTAGAGAGATTATATTTACTATCTCTTTTTTTTATTATCTTTTATTATCAAATCTTAACCGTTGATTTTCGTCAATCTAATGGTTATAATTTATTGGGTCATACTTATTAATTAATTATTAATTTTCAATAAATTATAATCGTTAGATTAGCGAAAATCAACGGTTAAGATTTGATAGTAAGAGGTAGTAAGAAAAAGAAGTAGTAAGTATAATATCTCCCATTAAAAAAAAACCTTACCTCATATAAACTAATGTTAATATATATAGAATTTTAGTAATAGAAGAATGCAAAATCTATAAAAATTTGATTGATTGCTTATTTTTTTCCATTATAATTATAAAAATTTCATAATGCTTTTATCATATTTCTAGTTTTTATAATTCCGTGAAGAAAATAAAAATATATTATTATTATTATTATTATTTAATAAAATTTTAAACATAAAATAAAAATAATACATCAATTTCTTAAAAATAATAATTACGATAGTCCAATATTCCTAATGGTTCAACATTGCAGTACACTTTTAACTAAATGTTAGTTTACTTATTTTATTTGTTCATTTCAAAATAAGGAAAAATAATAAGGTTTAAAATATCAAATGATTATCTAACAACTACGATTTTTTTAGAAACAACCATGTCAAATGAATACATTTAGTACTGTCCTTTATTTAAGTTACTATCGATGATACGTAATTGACAAATGAATATCTTATTTTATGTATCCTTCTTGCTTAAGTATTGCCTTTTTCAAATGGCAAAAAATCTCTTCAAAGAATCCTCGGTTGCTGGAACATGTACTCTAGTATGGTGACAGGCAATAAATCTATTAAGAGATATAATAAAATAATTTATGAACCTCTTTTCCATGGTTTTAAATTTTTTGGAGAATTAGTAGTGTGAATATGATATAAAAATTTATAACCAAGTGATGTAGAGTTCAATTTTTATCGTTCATCGAATAAAATTTGGGTTTAAACACAAAGTAAGGAAAACTAAAAACTAAAAATAAAATAATAATGTTTACCGAATAATAATAATAATGGGCAGTACGCACTGCATAAAATTGTCTGCCCGATCCGAGGATAATCTTCGCATGAAATTGTTAATCTTCTTAATTTATTATAAGACGAAAATCTCGATTATACATATGAATTATTGCACTAATACACTCAAATTTTAAATACTTTCGTGGACCACATAATGAATTAAAATTGAGCAAAAACAAAATTGCTGATGATTAGAAAATTGGAGTAGTTATCACTTGGACTGCTGATATGTTAAAATAAATAAATAAAATTTAAGGTTCAATTTAAAATAAGAATTTAGCTCAGTGAAAGCTCTGTAATAATAAAGGGCAAAACACGATGATGCTTATGCATTATAACACTAACAAGCCAGTCCATAAGTTTTTTTATTTTATGGACCACATAATGAATAAAAATCTAGCAGAACAAAATTCGCTGATGCTTGGAAATTTGGAGTAGTTGCCACTTAGCTATCTTATTAACAATATAATAAAAAAATTTAATAATCAGTTTGAGGACTTACAAAAAAAATTACGTATATATATATATAAGTTTACATTTCTGTTGTTGTACGTGCAGTAATTAAATACTTGTCATATATATACTTGAAAGCATTAAATGCGGGAAATTATAACCATACAAAATATGAAAGCATTAAATATGGGGAATCATAACAATATACATGTCGTTGTTGTACGTAAAGCGGCTGCAAAAATAATTTTATCATATATATATATATATTATTTAAGACTTTGGTTTATTTTTTTCGGAAACAATCCATGTAGGTTATTTAACACTTAACAATGTCACAGAAGATTAAATATAACAAAACTATCATCTAACTCCAAAGAAAAATAGTAGAATACTAGTAACACACGAAAATTAACTACCAAACAAAGATTTTTTTAAAAGAGTCAAATTCTAATTTAGCCTATTCTTTTAGGCACCTATTAAACTTTATTAAGTAGCCAATAAGTATAACTTCAACTTGTTACCAAAAAAAATAAGTATTACTTCAACTGCTAGGATGGAACTCCCTCAAAAGTTTTGGTTTTGATTCTTCCTAGTGATCTTCATTGGGGGTTCATATGCCTACAGTCTACACCCTTATTGTAGCTTATGATATATCTCGATCTGTCTTCTTTAAAACTTATTGTCAAACCAAAAAATACCATTCCCACTTAAAAGCCATCAAATCAATGCTAATTCCTCAAGGGAAGCATCAACTCTACACTGAAACGAGCGACAAACATTCATTTCTGGAACACTGATCATTTTGTCACTGGCAAAAAAAAATACAAAAATGTCATGTTAACAGTAAATTTTATCAACATGTCACGTGACAGATTTCGCTACATTGTGTAGCGAAATATGTGTGCAAATAATTCGCTACACGGTGTAGCAAAATATGCCACGTCAAAACCAAAAAATGCCACGTGTCAAACAAGGAGAATTTCGCTACCCAGTGTAACGAAATTCTCCCTGTCTGACATGTGGCATTTTGGGTTCTGTGCATTCTGACGTGGCATATTTCGCTACACTGTGTAGCGAATTATTTGCACACATATTTCGCTACACAGTGTAGCGAAATATGTCACGTGACATTTTGGCAAAATTTACTGTTGGCGTGGCATTTTGGTATTTTTTTTTTGCCAACAATGGCACTTTGGTCACTATTCCTTCATTTCTCCTAAAGCTTTTGGCATACTAAGCCACTACATTTAATCTAGTGGTAAGTAATTTAGACAGGTTGTATTAGGTTATATATTTAATCACACTTGTATAATAATAATAATAAAAAATTGTTGACATACACGTGTCAATTGACAAGGAGAATGGCAACTTGGTGTTAAGTCCGTAGCTTGCATGCTGTTCAACCCGTAAGTTACCCATAATAGGATTCACTCCCTTAAAATATTTAGTTAGATATAGAAAATGTTCCAAATTAATCACATCCTAACTTGACACTCCATTTCTAGAATTTCCTTTTGTTTCTTTACTTCCAAATTCCCCAAGTAC